TGAAGGGGAAAGTGGCAAGAGGAAGAGAACACACTCATAGTATACTACTTGACTCAGCAGAGAACAATATTTAAGTTTACACTGTACGTATTTTATAGATATGTAAATATGTAAATGCTGCTGATGTAACAAAAAAATGTGAAGTAACTTGTTGGGATGATGGGTAAAAAGAAAGGGGACAAGTGAGAGAGCTAAATCTTCACCCATCAAAATAGTAATGGAAGAAAAAAGATATCTAAAATCTAGAAATAACAAGTCAGAGTATGCACATTATTTAGAAATATCGAGATAAATGCCTAAAGAAACAACTAAGAGTTGGAAATGGTTTTCTCTAGGGAAAAATCTTAGGGGTTCTGGGTGAAGATGTAATGAATGTCTATTTTCATTATCTTTACTACTGAATGATACTTTAACTATGTGTATGAGTTCATTAAAAAAAAAAGCTATCAAAGAATAAGTGGGAAGTGTGAATAAGTGGGAAGTAGAAGCAGAAAATGTTAGCCATTCTGTCAATAGCTTAGCTGGGCATGGAAGGAATCAGAAGACGGCAGAGCAGAAAGAATAATTTGGCTAAAATGGGGGATACCAGAGCATATTTATATCCTGTGTGGAAATAACTGGAGAAAAAGAGAATATGAAATAGTAGAGAACAAAGAGCTAACCAATGATGAGACCCAGGATGGGACAGCAGAAGGGAGATACTAATTTTATCTTTGTTGGGGACATTTTGGTATCATTCATTCCTACTTACTGGGAAGTCCTATGCCTATCGCCTCATTACTTCATTTTCTCTCTTGACCTTCAGCCTCTGACACAATATGCTTATTTATTTATTTGTTCATTTATTTTGTGGTTTTAGAATCAAACTCAGGACCTTGTGCATGCTAGGCAAGCACTCTACCACTAAGCCCATATGTGCTTTTCTTATCTGTATTCCTAATCAGAAAAAGTCTCATTCTTTCCCCAATACTCTGAATCTATGAGGAAATTAGAAATTAAAATTCAAATCTTTTTATATCTTACATTCTTGGACATGTTATCATGAATTTATACTCTCCTCACACTGTACATCAAAATTATTTCTTAGTATCCTTCCTGAAAACAGAGATTCAGGTAACAGATCTGTAACACTCTGGATGAATATACTGAGCTCTCTAGAGAAAGCCCAATTGCCACCCATTAACATTCTCCCTGTAGATCTAAAAGAAATGCCAAATAGCCCTGTGTACAGGTGACCTAGAAATGAGCCTCACATTGTCAGGACATGATGTGGCCCATATCAGAACATTTCTGTGATCAAATGTGTGATGTGGCCCCCATCAGTGTGCTGAAAGAATTGACAAATTAAATTATCCTCTGGCCTTCTCGGCAACTGTGTAGATTGTGCCTGCATGTCCCTAGAAGTTACCTTGTCTTTGAAGTCTGTGGCATCCACCTCCCACACAGCGCCCCCCACTTGAAAGTTTTCGGGGTAGAATCTGATCAGTAGCTGTACACATCAGCCATGGTGAGATCCCATTTATTTCACTATGCAAGATGATTTAAGACAGACAAAAGCTTCTAAACTTTTGAATCCACTCACTCCTATAAAAGCTCATTAATGGAGTGCATTTAATCCTTTCCCTTTTATCCCCAGTGAATTTTTTTGTGTGTGTGGTACTGGGGCTTGAACTCAGGACCTGCACCTTGACCCACTCCACCAGCCCTTTTTTGTGGAGGATTTTTTTGAGATAGGGTCTCACAAACTATTTGCCTGGGCTGGCTTCAAACTGCGATCCTCCTGATCTCTGCCTCCAAGTAGCTAGGATTACAGGTGTGATTACAGGTGTGAACCACCAGCACCCAGTGGTTTCAAAGATATCCATATATGTAGACTTGATTCTATAATTACAAAGAGAAACTGCTGTGGTGGTTACTCTGTCATTTCTGTAAACTGTGTTGTACTGCCAAGTTTTCTTAGCAGCTGTACTTTGTAGGTGACTATGCCAAGATCCAGATGTATAAGCATCCTACACATTCACTGGCAAGCCTTTTGGGATACTCCCCCAGCGGTGATATGACTCCAGAAGAAATGATGTAAGCATAGTGTGAGCAAGAACAGGATATCAGCAAATAACACTAAGATTATGACAAAAGTCACTGAAGAAGGGCAGGTAGAGTCTACAGGAATTTCAGTGTTTGGTTCTTTTGACACTGTCATTGCTTAAATATGGGATGTCATGGCACAGTAACACTAAATGACAAGTAGGCATTAGTTAAAAACAGTGAAGGTCCTTGTTTTTGAAAGGGTTGGATGTCCATTTTTACAAAAGGAGAAAACTCTCTTACAAAAAATACAAGTCAGGTCTGGCATGGTAGCTCATGTCTGTAATCTCAGCTACTTGGGAGACAGAGATAGGAGAATTGTGGTTTGAGGGCAGCCCAGAACAAAACAAAAAAAAGAACAAAAACAACAACAAAGTTAGTGAGCCCCTATTTTAAAAACAAGCCAAGCGTGGTGGAATTCTCCTGTATTCCCACCTACCTAGCAGGCAGTGGTAGGAGGATCTTGTTCTAAGGCTGGCCCCAGGCAGAAGCACATGACCCTATCCAAAAAATAACTAAAGCAAAAAGGGCTGGAGGCATGAGTCAAGTAGTAGAACATTTCAAAGTACAAGGCCCTGAGTTCAAATCCCAGAACTACAACACACACACACACACACACACACACACACACACACACACACATGCTCGCGTGCACATACACACTTCAGTATTCTAAATGGCAAGCTTTCTTGTTTAAACTTGACCAAGATCATACTTCTTTTCTGTTCTTTTCCTGCCCTCCACTCCCTTTGGTAGCACTAGGGGTTGAACTCAGGGCCTTATGCCTGCTAAGCAGGCATTCTACCACTTGAGCCACTGTACTAGTCCTTTTGGGGCTTGTTATTTTTGAGATAGGGCCTCATTTATGCCCCAGCTGGTCATGAGCATAATCACAACCCTACTATTTACACTTCCGACTGTAGCTGGAATGACAAGCACACGATACCATGCCAGCTATTGGTTGAGGTGGGGCCTCACAAGCTTTTTGCCTAGACTGACATCAAACCACTATCCTCCCAGTTTCCATTTTCCAAGTAGCTAGGATTAGCTAGGATTTAGGCTTGAGCTAAAATCATATTTAAAAAAAAAATTTTTTTGGCAGTACTGAGGTTTGAACTCAGGGCTTAACACTTGTTAGGCTAGGACTCTAACACCTGAGCTCTTGAGTCACACCTCCAGCCCTAAATCCTAGCTAAATCCTAGTAAAACTGTCTTTTTTCTCAGCAGTCTCTCTCTCTCTCTCTCTCTCTCTCTCTCTCTCTCTCTCTCTCCTTTCCAATCCATCTTTATGGCATGTCTCTAGCCTGGTTATTCATTTTTAATACAAATACCGATGAACAGCAGGCAGCAGAACTGCCTCGAGAGCCCATGCATACCAGGAGCGCCCACAAGCACCACTACATAAAATTCAAGTCCAAGTTCTGCACGGCATGGGAAATACAATGCTCAGAGGAGCTTCTTTACGTGAACTCTGTCGATTCAAGCACTGCAAACTAATCTATACACCCTAAAAATAAATAAATAAATCTGCCTTTTCCCAAGTATCAAGAGCAGGTGCTAGTTTTGGAACCCTAAAAATTCAGAAATGGAAAAATAAAAATACGTGACTTTGTAGTTATTGTATTTTTGTAAAGTTCACCTACTTGGCTGAAAATTTTTGGCAAAGGTGCAATCTACCTGAGACCTTGGTATACTAAGCATGGGTTACTAGCTTTGAGCTCGTTTGTGGTAATGTGACTGTGAAGCACATTGGTTAATGTCACAAATACATGTGTCATTTTGCATTCACAGTATGTTTCATGCTTGTTAAAACATGCTTAAAATTAAAGAAAATGATTCAAACATGAGTAAATCTAATAGGAATATCAATGTACTTCCCCACACCTCACCACACTGTGTGCACACACACACACACACACACACACACACACACACACACACACACAAATCATGAACTATTCTACACGTGCAAATAAAGTCCACACTTAAGTGAGGAAAATATTTGAATTCAACTAAGCTTGGATGATGTCATTTTTTTCTTGGCATTAAGGTATCCAGATTTATTTTCTGCTATTTTCTGTCACTTTTTCTGTCGAGCTATAAAGGGCCACTTGGCAGCTCTATTCAAACTGCTCCACAATTTAAATCAATTGCACACTTGAATGGAGCATGGGTCTGACGTTGATACTCCAAAAATTATTGTTTATGGAATTCTGAGAATGTTTTGGAGGTGGCCAAAACTTCTACAATGCACACAAACACACACAAATAAGTCAAACTCTGTGTTTAGGATTCGATAATTCATTTCCACTTTATTTCATATTCAAATTATTTCCTGAAGTCATATTATGGAGCTTTTGTTTTTGTGAAATTTTAGAGGTCCAGGCCCTGTACTAGCTATGAGATTTTTTTTTCCTAGCACATATATTAAATTCAAGATTTGATAGTGGCAAATGACAATTGTTAAACTGTGTCCTGTTTCAGAATAGAGTTTTCAAAAAGTAAAAAAATTATTGTAGAACAAAATCAATCAAATTTGGCCCACAATTAGAAAATATGGGAGCCAACCTTTGAGAGTATGTGAGACAACCCCCAAGTCTTACTGGTGAAGAAACTGAGGGTTTCTTAGCTGATGGGCCAATCGATGGATCCACTTGCTAGAATCAAAACTGAGATAAGAAGCCAGGCCCTGCCTCTGGCACAGCATCCTCAACAAGTCACACCACAAAACAGCAGTTCTGCAAATCAGTTCTTTTCCCCCGCATCAAAACAAATGCACAAAATAGGAAAGACACATGGCTATTAGTTGGTTATTTATAAACAAGGAATTTAAAATTTAAATTAGTACATGTAAGCGTTGGCACAAACAGAGGAAGGTTCAGTTTCACGGCAGCAGCAGCATCTGCACAACATACCCCCTCAGCCACTGCCCTCAGCCCTTCCCCCCTCCAAGAGAGGTAGCGCTGCTGGCTGCAGACTTCTTCAGCTCTATTTTCATAGACTGAGTCTCAGCTCGAGGCTCGAATTTGGTCAGATTTCCTGCTCCTGTGGCTGCCACTACTGGCTTTCCTGCTTTCATACCTTTTGACACAGGAATGCGGGTGGGTGTAGGCCGCTGGGAAGACCCATCTTGTCCTGACTGGAAGAGAGAAAACAGAGACACAAGGGAGATGGTGGTGAGGTTCCCCTGGATGTGCCATCAATCTGACATCAGCAGGACTCTTGACAGGCAGCAACTCCCCCCACAGACCACCCTTCCCCTGATGAAAGGGTTGTATCTAATCCCCTTGAATTCTTCCCTTTTCCCTCTTTTGAAACATCAATGCTGAAATCCTTCTCAAGTCCTACCCTACCTCCTGCACCCTTACAGAAGGTGACCTTAATGTTATTTCACAGAGAAAATATAAGCCACCAGGTATAAACTCGGCAACTTTACTTCTGCTGTCCTCCAAGTACCCTCCCCTCCCCATCTGTTTCAGATGAAGCAACTCTCATCTCCCAGTGACCTCAGACGCCACTCATTTTTTTATTATCACTTCTGACCACACCCTTCTGAAAATGTTCTTGCTCCTGGGCACTGGTAGTTCACACCTGTAATCTCAGCTACTCAGGAGGCAGAGATAGGAGGATCATGGTTTGAAGCCAGTCCAGGCAAACAGTTCGTGAAACCTTATCTTGAAAAAAACCCATCACAAAAAAGGGCTGGTGGAGTGGCTCAAGGTATAGGCCCTGAGTTCAAGCCCCAGTACCAAAAAAAAAAAAAAAATGTTCTTGCTTCATTTTTGGATTTTATTTTTGTTTTGTTCTTTCTTTTGACAATACTGGAATTTGAACTCAGGGCCTTGTGCTTGCTAGGCAGAGGCCGCACCACCAGCCCTTTTTGCATTAGTTATTTTTCCACAGAGCCTCACTTTTATGCCTAGCTGGCCTGGACTGTGATACTCCTGTTTATGCTTCCTGAGTAGCTGGGATGACAGGCTCCGGCAGTCACGCCCTGGTGTTTACTGGTTGAGATGGGTTCAACTGTTTGAGTGGGCTGGCCTTGAACTGTAGTCCTTTTGATCTCTGCCTCCTGAGTAGCCAGGATTACGAGAGCCACCTCTCCTGGCTCTCTTATGGTAGTTTCTTATGTGGGCCTCACAATTCACCTCTAGTTTCTGATGACTCCTTTTCTATTTGTTGTTGGCTCTGGGCTCTACCTTGCCTACCTTCTGCATAAGAGTTTCACTATGTCCTATTTTGAGCCCTTTCTAAATTTTTTAGATTCACCCTAAGAATCCCCTAAGTTGGATGTGTCCATGTGTCCAAGCCCTAGAACCTATAGCCTTCAGTGCTTTCCTGAAATGCAGGTCTGCTTTCCAGTGATTCACTGGACTTTTGCAGCATTCCCCAGGCATCTCAAAAATAACATGCTCACGCCTGTAATCCTAGCTACTCAGAAGGCACAGATAGGAGGATCATGGTTCAAAGCCAGCCGGGGCAAATAGTTCGTGAGACCCTATCTTGAAAAAACCCTATCACTAAAAGTTGGGCTGGTGGAGGTGGCTCAAGGTGAAGGCCCTGAGTTCCAGACCCAGTATGGAAAAAAAAAAAATTGACATGCCTCAAACATTACCTACCCTCTTCCTAAGTCAGTCCCCAGACAACCAATCCTGGCTACTCATGAGACTACTCAATTTGTCATGAAACCTTTTTGATTCTATCTTTAGTTTTTGAGGCAGGCTCCCACTATGTAACTCAGGTCAGCCTGCCTCAGTTATAATCCTCCTGCCTCCATGTCCCAAGTGCTGGGATTATAGGCATGTACCACCATGCCTGGCTGTCGGTTCTATCTTCAATATAGCTCAGTCCTCATTTCATTAGACTAGAGATGGTGTAGTTCAAGCTACACCATCTCTAGTCTAGAAAATTGCAATGGCACTATCTTTAGCCCTGTCCCTCCGATTTATCCTTTAAGCTGTTTTTTATACATATCTTTCTAGAACAAAACAATCTAATAGTTTTTCATGATCCTTACCAGTTCAAGGGCTCCATTTATCCATTTATTTCATAATAAAGAATGTGCCTACTTCAATATCTGACCCTAGTTTGCTTCTCCACTTTCTGTACTTGTTAATTACAATGTACAAATGAACAAGTCTTACTGATTCCATTCTCAGGAGGGTGTCTAAACCTTTAGTTGTCCTAAATTTTATGGGAGCTAATTTACCTAAAATAAATAGGCCATCATTTAGACCTTAGAAATCTTGAACAGTTTTTTTTATGATTTTATTATTATATAATTGTTGTACAGGGAACACATTGCGGTATTTACATATGTGTTTACAATATATCTTGGTTGGGTTATCCCCTCCATCTTGAATAGTTTTGCTTTGTTTTTTAAATCATTGTGTATGTTGTCTAATTGGTAGTCAAAGATGTTGCTGTACAGGACAAGGCCATCTTGATCTGACCATCAAACTGAGGATAAGATGTTACAGCAGAAAAATCTGCTCTAAGTTACAATGACTTATACCTCCACTGTCTTTTCATAAGGTTCAGCACAAAGAAGTAAGACCCTACACAACCACACTATGCTCTGTGGTCCCTAAAAGCAGTACATTTGGGAAGTGAGAACAAGTCTTAGTGCAATTTGGCTCCTGGAGAGCCAATAACTAAAAGCTTTACTGGCAAAGCAATTAGCAATTCATGTTTTGAAGTCTGTCTTGAGTCTGTGGTTGTGCACAGAGGATTATGCAAAGTACACTGAGGATGTGGAAAACAAGCCAGGGTTCCTATGTTTAAATTATGAGTTTCCTGTCTTTCTTAAGAGGGTTCAATATATGCCATGGAACTTGTTCGGTGTTTAGAAATCATAATTTCTAGTCTATTTGCTTAAATTAATATCTAAATAATGCATGATCTTATATAATAACTTTGTCTCCAATAAATAAAGCCAATTACTGGAAGTACTTTTTTAATATAATTTATTTTTGAGCTCTCATTTTGTACTTTGGACATGCATTTTGGTTTTTTTTGTTTTTGCTTGTTTGTTTTGGTTTTTGAGACAGGGTATCTCTATGAAGCCTAGACTGGCCTTGAACTCCCAATCTTCCTGTCTCCGCCTGTACCACCATGCTTGGCTTAGATGTACGTTTTTATAATCATTTCATCTAGTCATCAAATAAATATTTATGAAGCACTTCTTCTCTGCAAAATACAATTAAACAAAATACAGTTTTTAGACATATAAGCACACTACTTTTTTACTTTTGAAAGTTTTTAAGTGTTTACTTTTTTTTGGCAGTACTAGGGTTTGAACTCAGAGCTTCATGCTTGCTAGGCAGGTGCTTTATCACTTGAGCCATGCCTTCAGCCCTTAAAAGTTTTTAATATGAGCTGGGTGCTCACTCCTGTAATCCTAGCTACTCAGGAGGCAGATATCAGGAGGATTGTGGTGATAGGAATCTGAGGTTTGAAGCCAGCCTGGGCAAGTAGTTTGGGTGATCTTATCTCCAAAATACCCAACACAAAAAGTGGCTAGCGGAGTGGCCAAGTGTAGAGTGCCTTCCTAGGAAGAGTGAGGTCCTGATTTCAAACCCCAGTATCCTCCCCCAAAAAAGCTTTTAATATGAAAATCTTTCAGTCTTCTTTTGGAATAAAGTATGACTATAGCCATACATAATTAGATATTTTAGATTATAGAAATACAACCTTGAAACAGTTTTAATCCTTTCTGCTAATTGACCATTTTCTCCAGTCTCCATTTACGAAAGTATTTTTTAAAAATAATCAACTTTTAAACCGTAGGATTGCTCTATGCTGCCATTTCAAAGAGTCTGTCTTTGCAAGTATTTTCAAGCGTTTCCATAAACTTACATGAATAAATGAGGTTTTCCCCTCAATGTTGGCCCTACTTATCAAAATATCAGATGGGTTATTTCTGCCTCTCAGTGTACCGTCCTCTGGGACACGTGTGAGCGGGTCAGGTGGAGGGGGAGGCAGGCGGCTTTGGGTTCTCGTGGATGCTGGGTTAGTCTCAGCACCCCGGCCCTCCCTCCAGTGGCCTGCTCTTTGGAACCTCTCCACTCACCACTGACTGGGTTCCTCGGGTGGAGGAGGTTGTGACCGGTGTGATGGTGATGGTGCTGGTCACTTTGCTCGCCCCAGGTCGTGCGGAGAGGTGGTTCCTGGGAGAGCGAAGAACCGTGCCCGTGGACAGCTCCTTTTCGGCTGTCACGTTCACGGGCCTGACGGTAATGACTGGACTCACTCCTTCTGCCGAAGCCCCTGGGGATCGCTTGAACTGAGAGCCTAAGTGAATGTGGATCTTATTGTCTTCCGTGGTTATGATGTTGGCGTTGGCGTTGTACTTCCGCACTGGAGGTGCGGCAGTCTGTTTCTCAGGGGTCACTTTGAGGACAGTCCTTCCCACGGGCACATCTTGGGGTTCGCCATGGGCTGCAGGCTCGGCCGGCGCTGCCGACGTGGACACCGTCATGATCTGGATGGGGGACCCGGGCCTGTCTGCGAACGAGCCTCTGCCACTTTCTGGGGGTTTCTCCCTGGAAAATGTCGTAATCGTGACAGGGGACATGGCTCGCTCAGGGCCAAGGGTAGGATCTGCACTTTTTGGTTTTGAGGACATCACATTTGGTGAAGGAATAATGGTTATCCTTGGTTTCTGATTCCCTAGGGTAGGAATGACAGTGGTGCTAGAAAAAAACTCCTCGGATGTGGGGCTCGTGATCTCCAAAGTCGCAGTGCTGTTCTCGTGGTCTGGTGTCACACGGATATGCAGGGGCTGGCCCTGCTTTGGTGAGAGGACAAGCTCTCCCGGGTGCCCTGGGTTGGAGCTGCTTCGAGGCGCCTTGTCCTGCGGGATCGAGGGGCCATTTTCCCTTTTCCTCATCCATGGGATCCAAGATTTTCTCATGGTGAGCTCGCTTGCTGCTGGGGGATACCTGTCGAGAACAGAGGATCGCTCCACAGGCTTCTTGAGGCTCACCTGCCGAAGGTTGCTCATGATGTGATTTTCCTCTTGGAAGGATTTCCGTATGAACACAGCTGGCGTTTCTTCCTCCGCGGATTCGCTGCCCACAGCGTCCGTCTGGACCCCAGTGGAAGCCACAGGCACATCCACCATTCTCCTTCCGTTCATGCTGGGCCTGAGGGCTCGGCTGTACCGCTTAGAAAGCTCCAGCTCCTTGGTCAGATGGAGGACCTCCTGCCCCATGTTTTTGTTCTTATTTTCTTCTTCCATAAACCTTTGCTGAAGGACGGAATAATCTACCTGGAGCTGAGAGAGCTGATCTTCTTTGTTCATTAACTCATGGATCTTCTCTTTAAGAGCTTGTACCTCGGCTTTTAAGTCTCGACTTTTAGCCTCTTCCAGCCGAAACCTGTGTCTCAGCTCAGCTTCCTGGCTCACAGCCTCACCCTTCTCTATAGCTTTGTTCTTGGCGATTTGGTGTTTGATCTCCTCTAGCTGTTGGGAGAGGAAGTTAGCCTTATCCTGCTCAGTTCTGAATTTCTGTTCCAGCTGATCATACTCGTCCTCTGTCTTCATCAAATCCCCTTCCACCACCTCCAGCTGTTGGAGACGGTTCTTCAGTCTCTCAATTTCAAGTGTTAGTTCCTTGATCTTGTTGTCTTCGGGGCAGGTGAGCTCAGGTCCTTTCCAAGACCGGCCTCTTGTTATTTCTCTTTCCACTTCCTCTATACCATCAAGCCTCTTCTTTAGTAAGTCAACACTGCAACTCAATTTAGAAGATTTCTCTTCTTCACTTTTCAGTTTTCCTATCAACTCATCTCTCTCCTTTGTCAAATTGTACACCTTTTCCTCCATTTCAGATTTCAGTTTTAAAAACTTCTTACTCTCTTCAATTAGCTTTTCAGTTACGTCCATAACCTTCCCCTGTTCCACCTTAAAATTTTTATTGAGTCCATCCACTTTTCTTTCTTCTTGCTTTATTTTTTCCATCATATTTTTCCTTTCATCAACCAGCATCACAGTAAACGACTTCAACTTTGTGAGATCATCTTTGAGGCTTAATTCAGCCTTTTCCAACCTACTTTCAGAACATTCCAGTTCTTTAACTCGGCTCTTGACCACCTCCAATTCATTCAACAGGTCTTTGGTTAAGTTCTTTTCTTTCTCTAGATTTAAATGTAGCTGGGAGCATTCAGATTTACTCTTGCTAAATGCTTCCTCCAATTTCTCTAGCTCTGACATTCTCTTCTGCAACTTCTCAACTTCAAGTTTGAGCTCCTTGCTATGGTGTTCTTCCTCTTGCAGCTTCTTCCTCAGCTCCCTGCACTGGGACTCGGTTTTAGTGATCTCTTCATCTTTACCCTCCATTTCCAGCACACGTTTTCGGAGATTTTCCACTTCTGCCATGAGGCTGGAGTTTCCACATTCCCCTTTGGCAATTTTATCTCTTAATTCCTGAAGTTCTTCCTCTGCTTTTTGGAGGTTTTTGTTGGTCTCTTCTAGCTCCTCAATTCTTTGAGATAGGCCAACCAGCTTGAGCCTGAGTTGCCTGTTGTGAGCCTCCTGGTTAGCCAACTTAGCATTCATCTCTTCATGCTCTTGAGAGAACCTGGAGGCCTTGTGTTCGAAATCCACTTCTAACTTGAGCAGTTTCTGTCTGTCTTCTTTGGATTTGGATGTAATGGCTTTGAGCTTTTCTTCTTCTTCTCTCAGTTTCTGAGTGAGATCCTGCACTTTCTGGCTCTGCAGGCCAAGTTGCTCAATGTGCATTTGTCGTTCATCCACCAGCATGAGTGCAAAGGACTTGAGTTTAACAAGTTCATCCCTTAGTTTATTGAGCCGCTTAGCATTTTCCTTTTCCTTTCGGGCTTGGTAAGCCTTTTCCTGTTCAAGGAGCTTTTTTAACCTAGAAAACAAAATGTAGTTGTGTATTAAAAGAGTAATCAGCAAGTAGATTTGTCTTAGAAATTAAATAAAAAACAAAATACTACCATAATGATCCTTTATCAATTGCTGTGATACCAATTATGAAAGCCATTAATGAAACTAACCAGAAGTCAGAACACTGGTTATCCCTAGAAAGTGATAGGGATTACAAGGGGGCATGAAGAGAGCTCTTAGTATCTGTACTAGCTTCCATTTCATGCTGATTACACAGGATTGCTCAATTTATGAAATTTCTTAAGCTGAACACTTATGAGTGCCTTTCTGCATGTATATTTTATTTTAATAAAATGAGTAGAACTTAGGTCAATTAATAATAATAATGACTACTTATATGGCGCTTTCTGCATTCTAGGTACTAATACCTACTTGATTCTCACAGCAATCCTGTGGAAAACTTACTGCTACTCTCCTCCTCCTGAGGAAATGAGACAGGGGGTAATGTAACCCATCACACGTCACACAGGAAGTGGCAGTGCCGGATTACAGTTCAGCCAGCACGGCTCCAGAGTCCCTACCCATCACCTCTGCACCACACAACTATAAGAGAGAAATTTATTTCAATGAAAGAGAAGTCCCAGAAAGAAACCTGGGGTTTTCTCATTTCGAATCCTTGAACTAAACTAGCAACTATCACCTGAGAGGGACAAGGCAAGAAAGACTTTCTGGTACAAAAGCTGATCTACATAAACTGATTTTAGTTGATACCAGAATTGTCAAGGATTTGGTCTCACTTTTCTGATTCAAACATTTTTTTAATTGAGAAATAGGTAGAGAGGAATGAAATGTATATATGTTTCTCTATGTTACTTATGTATAGCCTTAAAAAGTAAGGATATATACATCCCATTCTTGTGTTGGTCAGTTAACTTGTGTCAGTTTTTAATGGTTATCTTTATATACCCATAAAAACAGAGCTAAAATTAAAATCATATTCACCATACCAGTGTAAGAATGTATTTTAGTATTGAATATGTTTATTAGAGACATATATTATAAACAACTACTAACAGGTATTTATTAAATACATTTTATCTTTTCAGTGTATTTTGCACTTTTATTATTTGGACTGTTTTATTTCCTATTTATGACTAGGGTAGCTGTTAGCCAAGTAAATAGAATTTGTATCACACTGCATTGTGCAATAAATGATTAGATGTATGTATAAGCTATTTATAATTAATCCATTGTCATATAATTTCCATAAAATTATTCTGATGACTTCACTAAGATATTTTATAGCATTTATTTTTATAGAGCATATATCCTTTTTCTACGCAGCTCTTAATTAAATGCATAGCTTCCAGAAACCATTATGACCTTTTCTCTAAGATAAAAGGAAAAGATTGTTTTCCAATCTTAAGGACTAACATGAACACACTGTTTTACTAGGCCTAGTGCCATGGCTCATGCCTGTAATCCTAGCTACTCAGGAGACAGCAATCAGGAGGATCCTGGTTCAAAGCCATTCCAGGCAAATAGCTCTCGAGACCCTATCTCAAAAACACCCATTACAAAAAAGGGATTGTGGAATGGCTCAAGGTGTAGGCCCTGAGTTAAAACCCCAGTATTGCAAAAAAAAATAGTTTCACTACATGTGGCCCTTATATATGTAAAAGGGCATTTTATTGATCAACTTCCCTTATTACTTGGAGTAACAGAAGGGCTTAAATATGATAGAAAATGTAAAATTGGTTGGTACCTTAAGGTGTAGAGAGACGAAAGCAGAAGTAGGGAAGATAAAGAAAGGGAGTTGATGTTTCAGGTGGCATTGGGAGCTGCTGATAAGAAAACTTGTTCTGGTGAAATAGTTTGAGGTCCTAGAGAACCTCTCATCTGAATATTACTGCAAGCGGCTCTTAAAAGCTCATCCCAAACTCTGACTTTTGCTAATTCAAAATAAACAAATAATTAAATAGGGATAGAAAGAAAGGTCTTCTGCCTAATGTGTTAAATGCTTTATTATTTCATTTAATTTTCCCTACAGCCCTTTGAGCAAACCATTACCACACTATTTTATAAGTAAGTTATTGGACTTAATCAAGGGAATGGAAGCATAACAAAGAAGGGGCAGATTGGAATTTTGAATCAGATCTGTTTAAACAAACACTGTGTTTTAGTAGCAATGCTATTCTTCAAACTGATAACACCTGGACTGCTCAAATTTGCAAGACTTTGTCTTTAGGTCAACTTAATGTTACATGGTTCAATCTATCCTAGAATTGTCAAGATCTCTTTTGGACTCTTTTTTCACCCAATGTTTCAGCTTATCCATAGCATTGTATCAATGGCAAAATAACCCCAATCATTAATAAAATGTCAGGTCATTGCACAGAGCCCTTGAAACACTTTCAAGGTCTCCCTCCTGCTGGCATCAATCCATTTAATAACATTGACACTGTCACTCAATTAGCTGTTGAACCCACTAGGCTGTTCATTCTTTATCTCTTCTGAGCTCACAGGCTTCCCCTGTGACTCCATCTCATGTTAGTCAAATACAGCCAGTTCTTCCAGATGCTTAGGCCCAAATTTTAAAATCATTTTCTGAGTCCTCTCTTTCTCTCATATTCCTACATTCAATTTCTCAGCAAATCTTGCAACTGTATCTTCAAAATATATCCCAAATTTAGTTACTTCTTACCTACTTCATTCCTATCACCCTGGCCACAGGCACCATCATTACTGCTTATCCTGCATTGTTTGAAAAGCCACATAATATGACTTCCAGCTTCTACTCTTACCCTCCCTCAGTCTGCTCTCTTCCCAAAAGCCTGAGTAATAAAAAAAAAAGAAGAAGAAGAAGAAGAAGAAGAGAAGAAGAAGAGGAGGAGGAGCAAATCAGAGCATACCACTCTGCTTGGAAGTAGGAAAAAGGGAATACAGGACAAAGGTAGAGCAGGATCAATATTTTAATGCATATATGTATGCTTATAAGCATATATATACACATACACATACTTGAGAGATTAACCTGATCCCTCTTCATTTAAAGCTCTTTGTTTTTCCTTATAGTGATAGTCTAGTTAACAAGTAAAGAAATAATGCTAGCCTGACACTATTAATGAAGAAGTAATTACAGGATTTGCAATCACCAGTAAAATAATGAATGTAGGTTTCATCAATGTTGCACAAAAACAGAGACTGCCAGTCATTATATACATATGTACACATGTCCACCCATGAAATAATCTTACCACAAAAACTGAACCAGGATCATATCAAGCTTTTATGACTAATTATTAGGTTACAGGACAAACAGGATAAGAAACTGCTAAATAACATATGATAATCAGAAAAATCTGAAACACAGACAACTATATAGGCTACACAACCTATCTATTCTTCAACAGATAAATTAGGAAAAAAAAAAAAGAGCAGGGAGGGAAATCTATAGACTAAAAAAATTTAGAAGATCAACCAACTGTAATCTTTGGGATTGTTAGTCAAACTGTTTTTTAAATGAAACAATTGGAAAATTATATTGTTGAGGAATTATTAAATTTTAGATTTGATAATAGTTTTATAATAATATGTTTTAAAGTTTTTGTCTTTTAGAAACACATATTGAAATATTTATGAATGAAGATAATCCAAGGGAGAGAATAGATGAAATCAGATTGGTCATGAATTCATTGTTGAAGCTAAATAACAGGTACATGGGAGTTCATTACACTATTCTCTTTATCTTCACAAATGTGTGAAACTTTCCATAATAAAGGGGTTTGGGGTCTATGGGCATGACTCAAGCACTAGAGCAATTGCCTAGCAAGCTTGAGGCCCTGGGTAAACACACACACACACACACACACGCACACGCACACGCACATGCACACACACACATATATATCTTTGAGAATATCCTAAACATTCTTTATAAAAATAATAAATGTAAAGGGTTTTTTTCCAATCCCCTTTGGAATCTGCAGTTTCCCCCTGTCTCCTCAAGTCTCTGCTCCTTTAATCTCTGGTCATATTTTTGCCTTCCTTATGGTGCCATATAACTCACATTTGTCTGGTTAAGATGATTATTTCATTCTTTTCTATGTTTACAAAACTAACTTTTTAGAGATTTTTACTTTTTCTTCATTATTAGGATCCATTTGGTGCTTAATCAAACATTCTAGCAAAAGTATCCTCACTCAGTTTTTGTTCATAAGATATTTATTGATTTAACTTTCCTTTTTAAAGTCCTAAGTACAAGCTTTTTTGGGTGAAAAAAAGCAAAGTGAGATATTTGTTTTTTTTAATCTTATCCTATTGTACATTCTTTTGATAAACACCGAATCACTGAAACAGTTTTTTTTTCATCTATGTTCCTTAAGACTCAGAACAACCTGCCGTATCCATCCTTGCTTCCCTTCCTTGGAAAAGTATAGTATAAGATTTCATAGCTTGTTTTCTCCCAACTTTTCTTGACACCCCTCTTTTCAACCATTTCCTCCAAATATATCAGCATATGTCTTGAACAGAGGCAGCAGTTGTCTCCTTTTGCCTTTCCTTCAGATGTTGTCACTTGTCACCATCCTAATTCATTGAACCCATTTTGAAACATTAACATCACAAAAAGTCATTTCTAAGCTTGTTTTCCAGTCACACCATGCTAATTTCCCCTTCTCAGGACACTAAATTTTGGCTTTCTCTTCAATCTTTCTGTATGTATGCCCTTTGTTTTCAAGAGAGAGGGCAGGTTAATCTAGCAAGGCATGAATGTAATTAAAGATGAATGAACTCAAAAAGTCAAGCTTGCATGCTATATTGAAGTCTTTAATTAAATGCATTTTTTTCCCCCCGTAGAAGCACAGTTCAGATCTAAGCCATCTTGTTAACATGATAGGGAATGGTTTTACCAAATGACCTCAGGCAGAGGTGTTACTTTTTATGAATCACTCAGTTTTTCTTCAAAGCTGGTGACTATAAAATAATTATCCCAGAAATAATCTATAATGTCCCCAATATACGGCAACAGGACTGGGATTGAGGAGAAGGTGGATAAGGTAGGGTTGTCCAACTCGTAAAGTTAACTCCTCAAGCTTCGTTGGAAATTTTGATATTTTGCCTTCAATTTAATTTTTCTGTATTTTTTTAAATTAGTGCATTCAAAATATAAGTAGTCTATCTCAACTACTAACATTTTTGGCATCACCTAATTTTTGCAATCAAAGTGAGAGCTCACCTTTCCTCATTTAGTCCCAGTTCTGACTACTGAAGTAACTAGACAATCTTTTTTTTATATAAGGAAATGGTAAATCATTCATAAGAAGATACAAACTTTTGAAGTTTTTTTGTCTTCTTTTGTATTCTAGTGAGGATGAGTTTTCAAAGCCATTGGGTACAG